CAAGTATATTCGTCTTTTCTATAAATCGGATTTATCAACGAATCCAATCCATTTGATCACGAACGATACAACGAGAATTATTGTATTATTTTCAAGCGATAATGGATATATAGCATTGCATTAGCGATTGTACGTAACAATTTTTTCCTATTTAATGCTTTGCCGCTATTTCGAAATGTACGAATGGTTGACTGGAAATCGTGATATACGCGTTTAATCCGGACGTTTGTACGAAATCAATTTACGTTCCATGGAAGGAGGGAGAAAATTGTTTTCAACCGCGAATCTCACCCAGAAAAACATCGACGGGCTGTAGATCGTGATTGGTCCTCGGCTGCACAACGATTCCTCGTAAACGGCCCTGTTTCACTCGCACCTCCCTGGTAAACCGTTCTGGCGGGTCGAGAAACTTGGACCGATAACCGTACAGCGATCTTGTTTCGTAAATATTTCGATGCTCCGTGAGTATCTGGGTGCAGGCCAGCAACACGAGTCCCACAAGCTCCAGTCGCAGCATCCTCGACATTTGTTCGATCGTTGGACAGCCGGAAAGGGGAGCGATGAATTTTCACTGGCCCATCTTCGGACTCGACCGCTTTTGGACCGAGTCACGCACGCCTCGAAACCGGTTGCCGGGGTAAAAATAATTTTTCAACGTTCCCGCTTCTTCCGCTCGGGCCACCGGATGCGAGGGGGAAGGAAGTTCCTTCGAGAAACTTCGCCAGCCTTCGATGCTCGATCTTCTATCTTTCCACTTCTTTCGCTTTTGTTCTTCGATGTTAATCGAATAGAGACGATTTACAAACGTGGCAAAATCCGAGTTTTTTCGCCACCACGTGTACGCATTTCTGTCGTTTATTAAATGATAAAGAATATTTAACGAAATACGTTCTTCTTTAACATTTAAGATTCGAATTCGAAGTTGAGAATTTTTCCATTCGACACTTGGCGGGAAATTTCACGAAAATTTCACCACGAGTTTCACCAGCGAGAGAGATTACATGGAACACTGGTGGAACGAATAAAATGACCAGAGTTCGAGATGACTTTCCCTTTGAGTCGCGGTCTCCTTTAAGTATATTTGACAGGAGTGGAAACACAGCGGCAGTTTGGTCGGCTACATCTCACCGCTTGACGCCGATTACAGAGCAAGAAAAGGCTCGCTCCATGCTGCGCCGTCCTCCAACGAGATATTCTTAGGTCGAACGAGGGTGAACGCACGTACGCGACGAGAGGGAAGGAGACAGCCGAAAAGCGCTCTATTTTCGCTCCAAATAGAACGATTCTGGTGTTGGTAAACTTCACACCGGAACTCGCGATTCCCTCCACTTTCTTCCAAACATTCTCCTCTTCCTCGGATAATAAGATCCGGTTTCAACGTGATGATACGCGCGGCCCATGTAAATCTCGATATTTTTCCGCACGGAAATAATGCTGCAATGGTCTAACTTGTGCGCTAATTTGTCGAAACAATAGGAAAACAAGTATAGGTTTTAAAACGGATTCGGTTAATAACCGATTTACCTTCGTCAATCGAAAGATTTCACATTCTCTTCGTGGTGTGAAACACGGATAACGCGAAAATTTGGAAACAATTTTGCTCGATTCATCGATTCGAAAACAAAATATTAATACAAAACGAAATATATTTATCGTTCACGACAATGGAGCGAGATGAATAGAGTTTCGATAAAGCAAAGTTTCTCTCATTTTCTATACGGAGAAATGATTTAATATCGCGAGAAGAAATTTTATAAAATGATGTCGAAAGCGATGTTCGAAACCGTTACTAATTGACCGGCCCCCTATATTTTCAGCTTCGAGGCAAAACAGTGCTCGGTATCAGCGGCAATTAATGAAACAAATTAATCACACAGGAAGGTGAGAAAGAGCATTAACGGGGGAGGCTCGGGTCGGGAAGGGTTTCAATTTATCCCATTCATCGGGCTTACAAAGCCCGGCGTCGAAACAGCGCGAATGATTTCCACGGTGCGAAAAATCATTCGGCGAAAATTTACGAGGGAAAAAAAACGCGGCACGTGCACGCGGCAAACCGGATTACGCGGCGTGAAATAAAACCGAGGGCAGCTTTAACGCTCGCTTAAAAGCGGTCGGTAGCGTTAAGTTATGAATACCCGTAATTTGCATCGCGGCTGATTGTCGACTGAATAACGCGCAACTCCCTTTCCCCCATTTTTTTTTTCAACCTTTTTTCAAACCGTTTCTCTTTTTTCCTTCTTCTCTCTTTTCTTCTTTTTTTTTTAACCATTATTATTCGATCCAATTTTCAACGATACGTGACACGTTTTTCCAAAGACACATCGTAAAATAGAATTGTATCCCACCAATAAAGTCGAAGTGAACGCGAAGACGATTCGTTTAGCTTTGACCGATTCGAGATCAAATCGAACATACAGATACAGCTGGTGCTTGAAAATTTCTCGTTTGATAAGATCGTATATGATTTTCGATGACATTTTCGTATATTATAATTGGTGAACGAGATATCTTTCGATTTCGAAGGTTTTCGAGGTTAAAATTGGTTTACGACGAGGATATACCATGAATTTCGTGTTTAACGTTTGCAGAGTGATTAGAGGTACTTAGGGGAAAAGCAAACGTTGCTTTCGTCGAGGATGTTGAACTTTTGGCTGCCCTTGCGTGCCTCGAGCAACGAGGATATTCTTGGACCACGCTTCTACTCGACCACGGCTTTTCGGCGTAGCTTCACCAATAAAACGCAGATAGAAATTATACGAATTACGCCGTTAAACGCGCATAATAATCTTTCGCGCAAAGAGAAGTTTTTAAGAATAGAAATTTTTTTAACGAACAGCGTAAAGAAACACGTTCACCCAATTTTAGACCGCAAAAACACGAAGTATTTTGTATGAATTTATATCTAATCACGTTCATCACTGTTTTTACCTAAATTTTCGTTCACGAACACTCGAGAATAACTCGAGAAAAACACTTGGAAAAGTAAGGAAAAAATTTGGATTGCGTTGATACTTTTTTTCCCTTCGACTCGTCACCCGGAAACATCAAAAGCATAGACGCAGTAAAAATCTCGCGTGCACGCGTAGCTAGCTTCGCTTGAATCTCGATGGAACTCGCGAGTGGACTGAGTCCGTAAGTGCTAAAATTAAATCGAGAACGCGTCGAGAAGGAAGCGCCGCCGGGCGGCTGCCTTACAAGCTGAAACTTTTATTTTCGACCGAATCGTTCCGCGATCGTTTGCAAAACTTTCCTCCTCGAAATTCTATTCGGAAGAAAACTTTCTCGTTCGAAAGAGTTTCGACAACGAAAGAATTCCCCATGCTTTCCATACATCGTCTTTATCCGCGCTTTATCTCGAGTATAGATCAGTGTTCGATCAGAGGTAATTTTATTTAACTTGACAGACAATGAACGAACGAACGAAGAATTTCGATCTTTCGAATGGAAAAATAGCAAACACGAAATTAAATCGTTCGTTTTAAGGTCCAAAGTTGGACATGTTTGTCGGCGGCTACTCGCCATCCAAGATTATTACATCGTGCATATATATCGATTTTCAAACACTTGGACGTCGATAACTCGATAAATATTGTTCGAAGCGTGACGATCCCGCGCGCAAGCAGATTAGAAAACTTCACCGTTGAATTACTTTCCACGAGCCGAGTCACTGTTCCTTCCATGTAACGGCGTGTTAAAGCAACGATAAGAAGGGTTTGAGAGGGGTTCTCGAGGCATGAGGCGGTCCCCGATGAGTGGCTCCTCTTCAGGAACACCTCATTCACGTTAATGAACTTACTTCGTGTGCCAGGGGCGAGCAAGACCGACGAAAGTTCATGACTTCTCCACAGGAGGACAAAGGTTGGAGGATGAATTTCACGAAATGCTTTGCATAATTGCTTCCGTGCTTCAAATTTATCTTTCTTTTTCTCTTCCATTCCCCTTCTCTTTCCCCTCTTTTTTATTATGAAAAAAGGTTTAATTTACATCACAGGGGCGACATTGTTTCAATCGTTCAATTTTTCTTCAATTGATAACAGCTTCGCGGTTAGAAGGTATTCCTCAAGGTATTGCACGTTGTATCCACGATTAAATCGAAGCAATCTCTGCGACTTTCAATATACTTTTCAACTGATTCGTCGACGCGAAAAGATAGGAGGAGAATGGAACGCATTGTTTCCCGAGTTATCGATACGAAGAAAACGAAGCGGTAAGGGAAGGTAAATAAATGGTAGTGTATAAACAATCCAGCAGAAATGCATTTTAATCCCGGAGGAATCGAGCCATCTCGGAATATGAATATCTGCTTCATTGTTCCAACTTATTCATCGCTTTAGTAGATAGACAGAGAATATTTCTTCTCCTTCTGTTCTATTCCATTTGAGAAAAATTAGCTTCTCGACACGTGCTACTTCATATTTTTCACAATTACATTCTTAATAATGTTCAAACCGATAATAAGCAATAAAAATTCATTTTTCGACTCGAGATTATGTTTCCCTTTCAGAGACTTTGTCTCTAAGATCCTTGAGGTAACGTTTAATTCAGAAGATATCCACCGTCCACTGGTATGCAAGCTCATTTGGCAGCGCGAATAAATATTTCGCACCCTCTTTCAAAGTAAAATTACCATCGCCGGACCCTCGTCGTCGATGCTCCTCCTCTTTGCCCTACAGCGATGTTTGAGCTTGTTTACCGCCGGCTAAGGGTGAAGCGGTAAAGTACAGGGGAGGATGGAGTTAAATGAGTCTCGTTTGCACCGTCGTGTCGAACCTCGCAAGTTCCCTCGTGTCCCGAAGACATGGAACGCGAGTGAAACGTGGTTGCCAAGTTGGTGTGACGTAACTCTTTGAAAAGATATCCTCGTGACGAACGGAAACTGTGGAAGATGTAAAAGGTGTGTGAAACAGCATCGTTGTTTCAATGCTTGTTTCAACGGCCAATTTCTTCTACGAGATATAACTGAGTTTTTCAGAATCATGAGTATGACATTCAACGGAGGAATTTTAATAACCGTTAACGAAGCGGAAACGAAGATGACAATGTAGAGAAACGTGACGTTTCTCATCTAAATTTTGTTTTTAACCCAAGGTTTTTTCTCGCGGACACAGTCTGACCCGATAATCCTGCGACTTTGCATCCAAGATTGCAAGAACTGGATCGACGATTAATCCAGCGATCGCAAAAACGAACGATTTCAACTTTCGTACAATGTTAATCTCGAGTTTTGAAGGAGAGCAAACGGGGTGGGCAAACGATCCGAAGGTATCATCCATAATACCGATACACCAATCTTGACTCCGCGTTTACCACCTTCGTCCTCTCTTCCTGTATCCCGAAACTCCGGCAGAAATGGGGGGAGAAAAAAGTTGAGAGAAGGGAGGGGAGTCTGAGTTAGAAGTGGTTGGTTTGACTCCGAAGTTCGTCGAACGAGACGAAATCCGTTCCTCCATCATCCCTCCGACCGCCATCGTATCGATTCTCTCTTTTTTCCTCGTTGATATCCAGGGACGAATTAATCACGGGCGAAAAGTCCAACGGAGGGAACCGGTTGGTCTCTCGATATATCGTAGATACGATCCGACAACCGTTGCGAGGGGAGAGACAAGAAAGACGTTTTCGTGGGTGGTTGAACTTTCGTGGGGGAGATCGAAGGTAGTCGAAGGAGATCCGATCTTGGAGGAAATATAGGGTTATAGTACACGATCTGATTGTGGAATATTCAAATCCAACGAATTGCTCTATCTCGAACATCAGTTTTTTTAGAACACTAATGCGAGGACAGAAGCAGATCTGTCCTCCTAGCGTGCTTTGAGCACACGTGTTATACTTTATCCACTTTGCGAGATTTCGTGCATCGATAACCATTTATTTCTATGTTTCTCCTCTAAAGCTTAGGCCATCGTTCCTTTGTGAAATCGAAAATGTATCTACTTTTCTCTAGAATCTGAGAAAGAAATCAGTTTCGTTTCATCGAGAAAAATTAAAATTTCGTCTTTTTATTTCTTTTTTTTTTTTTTTTTTCTTTTAAATATCATTATTTCTCGTGAACGTTTCAACGTCTATAATTTGCTTGGAAATTCATATTCTGAAAAAAATTTCTCTGTCAATTTAATATAACGTATGCTTGAGCAACAATACATAGAACTAGAACCATTTCCCTTGTCTCTTACTCTGGATGTTCTTAATCCTTAAGCGACTTCTGAAACGGATGAGTGACGTCAGCGGGATTGGTGTGCGTGACGGTAGAATTTCATTTAAATTTAATTTAAATCCAGCATATTCGTATTCGAGATAAAAGATATCTGTAATATCGAAAGTTACAAGGATCATCCGATGTTTAATATCCACGAGGAAATGGATTACAAGTGTTCATCGCGATGTAGTTGTTCTCGCTTCACACACACGTGAAATTTATCTCTACTCGTAATATCTTCTCGAAATATTGATCGATGGATTTTTCTTTCCCTTCGATAAAGTAAAGCGGTAGATTTTTCGCTGATGAACTCAAAAAACTTGCTCTTGAAACTTTTCCTGCAATACTTTATGCACTTTGGCAGACATTTTGATGTACGCCGAACTTTTATTACGAAGATACAGCGCTCTTCGTAGCACGCTCTCCTGTAATTTTGATCTATGAAAAAAACATTTGCTCGAACCGTCTACCAAGGATCTATCCAACCCCGTCAATTACCAACCAGATATTTTTCAAGCTCGAAGCCTTTGATACGATTTCGATTCAACCTCCGAATCGGCTAAAAACCCACAACTGATAGGATTTCAAGGTTCACGTGCAATTGGAGGCTCACCAGGCAAGCATCGGGTAATCGTGTTTCATTTAGCCAATCGATGGTGAACCAACAGGACGATAGGATTGCAGTAGTTAAATTTTGAGGCTGATTGAAGCTCATCCAACGAAGAATCGATACATTTGCCGAAACGATTATCTAATCTTGAATCATCACCCCTTATCTTGTTTTTCTAAGCGAACAATTACACGGATTTCGTGGAAAATAATTAAACAAATGTCGAATAAAGTTTTGTGCAATTAGTTCGTGCAAAATTCGAATAATATCGGGGTAAAGTATTGCACTTTTGCCTCGGATTATCTTTGTCGACAAAAAAGTGACGTTTCTCCTCGCAAGATACGTTCTCCTCTTCCCGTGGAGAAGAAACAGAAATAAGTAAGGGTGGGATTTGTCATTTGAAGGATTTCATGGATTAGCCTTACCCCGCAGTTTTCTGCCGCGTTTTAACGTAACAGCTCTCGTTCCAGTATGCCGGATATATACATGTACACTGTTCAAGGTACACCAGGGCCAGGTTATCCTTATTCTACGTTTGTGTCGCCCTGTCGTGGAAAATCCCGAGGGCATTTTACAGGTGTTACATTATTTTCTCTCTGCCGGTGAGATGGGTTCTTTCCGCAACCGACCACTGTTTATTATTCTTAAGTTTCGTTTTGCTTCTCTTTTCTTTTTCTACGCTTTTTACACTTTCATATTTACTTTCATATTTATTAACGATTAATGATCAAGCTTCGTTGATCTCATTTTTTTTTCTTTTTTACTAGTTTCTCTTTCTACTCTTTGAGAAAGATTAATTAAACAAGAACACTCGTCACGAGACAAATACAACAATGATTATCGAAACTCTGAATATCGTATCGAGTTTCCGGTTATCTACAATGATAGATTGATTCTCGGATTATTTGTAAAAATTTTAATACGATTTGAACGAGAGAGAAGAATAGTTGAAGAGTCTGACTGTTGGAAAGTTTATCGACATTCGTCAAATATCGCGAATCCAAAAGATGGTTAGGCAATCGATTTGTATCGGGCCAACTTTCCATCACGAGTACCATGTATGAACAAGTCCAGATGCGATAACCGGGTAGAAATAGTGAAAGCGGGTATACGTAACAGGTAGTATTGAACGACGAATGAAAGGAAGAAGAAAAGCTTTCATGCACGACGGATTTTTCCGGGATTAGCTGGATCTACTCGTATTATTCGTCGTACAACTATCCAGTAGACTGCTTCCGCGATAATAGCTTCGACGTTAACTGTTTCTTCGTTTCTCTCTCTCTCTCTCTCTCTCTTTTCTTCACTGCAGCCACGAGTTTATTCATGTATTCCCTCTAAACAAGCACAGCTCTGATGATAGAGATGATCTCTACATTAGAAATTAACGAAGATGAAATGGAAATAGATTTTGTCGTTAAAGAAATTCATTCGTGAATTTTAACGATTCAAATTTTATTCAAATTTGATCGGTACACGAATAGAATATATATAAGTGGTAAGATATAATGAAAATATAATAAAGGAAAAATACGACAAAGAGAGCGAAATTTCATTTATTATTGAACGATCGTGCGATTGAAGATAAGTTTCGAATAATACTGATTCATTTTATCTTTTCGTAACAATTATTTGTTCTGGATAAACGAAAAAAGAAACGTCGAATTTAATCCATCTTGTATGAAGAACGAAGAAAAATTTTTATCATGAGTGAAAACCGTAAAAAGATCAATTCGCACATTTTGATACATTTTAATGAATATTATCGAGGAAAATTTGTTTCTCTAATCATTACAAAGCCCATATTGAAATTATTTTCTATTTTTCTCTACATGACTCTCTTTTTATGTCTGTAATTTGATCATTCAAATCAATTTGCAGTAGAACAAAGGAGTTTCATAACATCGTGTATGTTCAAAAACATTGTGCTTCGATTGCTGCAATTAATTCTTTAAGAAAGATTTCAACTTATACGGGGAATTAAGCCGGAAAAATTGTGACGAACTGCAAATCATGAATGCTTTCTCATCGATTTCTCAATTGAATTTAACAAAAACCAACTTTCTTTTTCTGATCAAACGATTCGACGCATTTAAAGCATCGAGCTTCGAAAGCATCGAATGCTTCGATAATCTCTAATCTTGATCTCTAATCTTGATAAAGAAATCAGATGATTGAAAATTGTACTACAAATGCTAAGATTTTTACATTTTAATATCTGGATGGAAGATATATTTCGTAGAAAGCGAACAAAACGTCACGTGGTTCGATATTTTCGGTCAAGCCAGATTCAGCAATAGATTCGACGACGATAAACTGGCTTCGGAAGGAGGACTAGTTTCGTAGACGCGTTTCCTCCAAGCTGAATTTCGACAAATTTATGAGACAGGGGAGAGACGAGGTTTGATTGAGCATACGCGACGAAATTAATTTATGCATGTCGCATAAAGGGCACCCGTTCGTTCACGAAAAAATCGGTGATGAACGGGCGTAAGATTGGGTGAGGGAACAATTGTCGAGCAAGTACAATAGATGCGATAGATTCATCTTTTCAGTAGCCGATAAATTACTACGAATCTTCTTAACAATTTCAAACAATTTCAATTTAAAACAGAAAGATTCTTATTAACATTGATCTTTTCTTCAATTTCTTCCCATTTCTTTCTACATTCTCCTTCGTCGTTCATCTCGACATATTATCTCGACATCGATTCTCAATAGAAAGTTTTTAAAAGTTCCATTATTTATTATTTTATTTTTCCAATCAATTTGACCACTCAGATAACATTGAGCGAATTTTCGTCATAATTAGCTAATAAATGCGGCACTGAGCGTGAAACGAAACGTCCACAGAACGTGGTTGGTTGCAAGTTTCGTTGATCCGGGTTGACTGGTGTGTCGCTATGGATAGCAATCTCGGAAATGGCGTGCATTCCTGTCGACGGCACGCCTTTTATGCGACATTCGTTCGCACGAGGTTCGCAAAAACCGTATTTCCGGCTTTGAGCAGCCTCCATGACACAGTTACTCGCTAATCGATGTAAAAGGATCCCGTCAGATATGTCAGAATTTTAGATTCCATCGAACAGAGTTAATTCAGAATTATGTTACTTTAACATTTATTATTCTAAATTCATTATTCGTGTTATTCGTCATTATTCAAATAGATTATTCTTTTTCAGGATTGTGCATCGCGAATTGTGATCACCGTTTGACTTTCATAGTGGCTGTGATCTTTGCTGATTGCAAAAATTGTGCACGTTGCATTTACCAGACTGACTGTTGAATATAAAATTTATTACTTGGAAAAGAAACGTGAAGATAAAGGAACAAAATATAAATCTTTCGTTGAATTATATTTGTCGCATCATTTATTACGAAAAATTGCCGAAAAACGTACAACAATATTTGGCGATTTGGAGAAGCTTGACACCCTGAAGGGACGCCTAATGAGTGAAAGACTAATTGAATAACGCACTGCCTTCGTCACGCAAACTTGGAACGCCCCTATGATTAGGGAGAATGAGTAGGAAGGACCTATGTTAGCCTTAGGATACGAGTTAATAGCATTGGCAAAGTTGACGCACTAGAACGCCACATCGAGGAGCGATGTTAAATGTATTTCGCGCCTTCGTGCCCGGAAGAATTAAGCCGGTAATTCACGAAGGCTCGTCTAACAGCTACTCACGGCCTCGTTATCTCGACGTTAAGTAAACTGCATCGTAAAACGTGCCAACACTCTCTTTATAACATCTTGGAACACCAATATATCGATTAAATTACTATTATTGATGTATACTAATTCTTCTATCAACGAATTCTTCTTGTATTTTTATACAAGACGAACGAAATAATAAATTTCTTGTGTCAGAAATTTAGAAGAATGTTTGATTATTATTCTCTAAGATGTCTTGTCTAAAATGTGTCAAAGAATACGCTACACGTACGCTTATTCGAGATACGTTCAACAGATCAAAATTTCGAAGACTTTCTATTCTTAAAGAAGAGCTTAGAATGCATTGAAGTTTGTTAACGAGTATATGCAAGCTAAACTGTAAAGATGAGGCAGTGTTGTACATCGCGAAACTTTGCGAAGAAACCGACTTCGCTTTTAGTCATTCTTCTCTGAAATTCTCGTTAAAAAGTTTTTCCCCTTACTAGCTAACCAGCTGATATTACAATTTTGCCCTGTTAGTCTAACCTCTTTTTTTCCAAAATGATTCGCGTAACAACGTGACTTACTGCAACATGTATACGATCAAATTATCAAATATGGACTAGCTTTGAAAATGAATCTAATCCATAAATACGGAATATTAAAGCGGTATAATTCGAACAGAAAAAAGAAAAATAAAGATGGATTTATCGAATTATTTTTATGTAATAAAAATTTCTTCAAACTTTTTCCATTCGATACTTCTTTTTGAAAAATGTTTCAGGTTTTAATTTGACAACAGATATGGAATATGAGAATATCGATATGAATTTATATTACCTCAATATAGCATCAATATCGAATGTTGCATTTTCGAAGCATATGTACGAATCTATTATTAGGCACAGATGAAAGCGCTAAGTGGTCTGATGTCGATACATGTTGTATGTTATCTTGTTAAAGAGAGATTGTTGCATTGCTTTAAATGTCTAATGGCATATAAAATCGATCTTGCTTTTATTTCGTTATTATTTAATTTTTACGCTGACGCGAGAAGCAGAAAAACATATATAAATTGAATTACGAAAAAACAAAACTAAAAAATCAGAAAAATTCTAGTAACAAAGTTTTATTTATTGTTTTCATTTGGCAAGAGAGAAGCTAACCTATATATGGTTTCCAAACTATGTAACTCTATGAGTTTACAATACCTATGATTAACAAGAGCATATAACGAAATATCAAATTCTGTTTGAACGTGAATTCATAGCCGGACTTATCAAAAGGATTATTTCGATATAAATATTGGTTATAATTTCGATGTAGCATGAAATCAAACACAAGTTTACTTAACGAATCGTAAGATAAAGGTTATAATTTACGCCAATGAGAATCAAAACGATAAATAAAAAAATATAATTATTTTTACCAACCTTTTACCAAAGTTTCTTGTATATTTCTTGAACATTAGAATTATATTCACGATACACCGTATTATCGCTTCGACCACAATAATAGACCACAATAACAGAAACCACTCAGCTAATTGTCCTAATTGTGTAACGCTTTTCGCGCGCAACGTTTCAGATAGATGCAATAGGTTAAGTCGGTCTATAGCCTAGGCATACGTACTAAAATCGAGACACGAACCGAAATGCTCAAGTTGATACTGGTACTCCCTTCTATATCGACGCATTCGCTGATTTCCGCCCATATTCCGAGCAGTGTGGGCAGCGTATGCGCGGAGCATGCGCAGCTCCATACGAGCAGCGTCGCCTGACGCCAGTCTGTCCGAGATTCAAGTGACGGAAAGATCGGTTTCTCTGGTCCAGCGCGATCCGCGTTCGCGTCTCGTATCCTTTTCCTTCTAATGCGTGATCCTCACGATCTATCTGTGGGTTGGATCGCGTTACGCGGTCACCACGTGACAGAGGAATCGCTGCACGACTTCGGAAAGTGTGAAGTGCATGAAAAAAGTGTTCTCGGTCCAGTGTTGTCGCGTGTGTCGTTCCGAGGCCAATTCTGACCAGATTGAGAGGGTTGCGTGTATCTGTGCGATATAATTCTCCTGTAGTTGGTCACTGGAAACAGGGGACGCGTTTCTCTACTACGGAAAAGCATTTTTTTCTATAGCCTTGGTGATTTTACTTTGAACTGATCCATTACTTCGTTAACGGAGTGAGCATAAGTTGAACATAAGTGTATGAAGTCAGCTATCGTTGTTCGTTGAATAGGATATAATCGAGCGACACGCAGTGTAACAGTGATTCGATGTGGATTTTTTGTCGGTCTCGAATGATCGATCGGAGTTCCTGTCTTTAGATGGTGGCTCGTCGAAATTGCTCGGATTATCGATATGTTCGTATTAGGTACTGATTCTCTGGAATAATAACGTTTCGTTTTATTTGAAATTTTCTCTCGAAACGTGTCTACACACAATTTTCTGGAAACGGTGTATATACGAGAAGCAATAAAGAAATGTCCGCGTAATAACGGAAGAAGGAAATTTGAAAAGCTTTGGTCGGTCCAAAGAGTAAAAAAGAAAAAGAAAATAAAGAACAGTGGTAAAACGGTGGATGTAATTCGACAGTATCCGGTGCCTTCTTTTCTCTATCCGCTCCGACGAGCCGGGTCGTAAGGATGAAGCGAACCGGTAAACATCGGAGCCATGGCTTTCTCTTGGGCATCATTAGGGCGGGCGCTTTTTATTTGTACCGCCATATTAAACACGCTATCAGAAACGAGATCGTTTTTTTGTAACTTCGACGATATTTTCAAAATGATTCCAACCGTTCTTTGGATTTTCTCAAAACGATCGATTTCACCTCTTCAAACTTGATCTTCAATCATATTTTTACATGGAAAAAATCGGAATATAATATGTCATCGAAAATATCGTACGAGAAATAACAAACAGAGAAGCATACTGCGCAATATTTATGTTTCATAACGTTCGCTTGGGAAATGTCTACGTCCGCATGTTGACTACTCGCAGGAAGGTAATCAGCGAGTTTTCCAAGAAAGGTGGATAAACATTGTTTTGAACGTAAAAAGGAACTTGGTTTACATAGCAAACTCGTTCAACTCTCGCCGATAATAACATCCAACGGTATCTCCAGAATTATAAAGATGACGTAAATGTATTCGTACGAGAATTCGAGCGTCATCGTGTCGAAACGGAGCCTTCGGCCAGTCATTTCGGAATATCGTGAAGCTCGTTTCGAGACCGATCGTCTACTGATGCATCCTGGACGCGCACCAGGCCCTCGTGGCGACGAGGTGGGCACGATCGCGCGCGTTCCAGCCTCCGGGGGCGGTAGAAGTGTTCGAAGGGGGAAATGAAATCTTTGATCGGATTCGAGTGATCGCGAAAGGGAGCAGGCGTGGAGACGGGGTTTCAAGGGCGCGAACGAAGATGACGTCGTCGATCCTGGCGCTGCTCGGCCTAATCCTGGCGACCGCCAGCGCCGAGCTAAGCTCAAGGATCGTCAGGACAAAGTACGGGGATCTATCAGGCGTTATCGTGACCCTCGATCGGCACCTCGAGGGCGTCGAGGTGTTTCGTGGCGTTCCGTACGCGTCGCCGCCGATCGGCTCGTTGCGTTTCATGCCTCCTGTGAGCAGCGCGTTGTGGCACGGTGTTAAAGTGGCGGACAAATTCGGACCGGTCTGTCCCCAAAGGCTGCCCGAGCTCAGTGACAAAATGCCGAAAGGAAGGGTCGAGTATTTGAGGAGATTGCTGCCCTACCTAAGGAACCAGAGCGAGGATTGCTTGTACCTAAACGTCTACGCACCGGTCCAAGGTAAATCTCTTTTTGATTTTCTGATAATTATGCGATAGAAACTCGTTTTTTTATTAATTGAACGATTGTTAAACGTAAATTTGCAACGAAATTGAAATTATTCCTGCTCACCAGAATCCTCTAGATTATCTCGGTAGGATGCTCATTTTCGTTATATCGGAAAATCGTTGCACGCATGAAACTTGTATAACTTTCATTACATCTTTTCCTTCGCATCGATTCTACAGACTAAGAAAAGTTCTTTCAAAAAGATTATGAACTACTATTTTATGTATTTTAAATATTTTTTTTTTTGGACATGGAATATATAAATAATTTTATTTATTCGCTCTTGTATATCTCAAATCCGTTATTTCTCTCAGTCGATTTAAACTATTGATGTTCGGTGGAGCAAAGAATTCTTATATTCCTCGAATATCCATGCTGATTCCCAGTTAAGGTCGAAGAATTTCTTTGTGCCACGTACTTTTATTTGCTTTTATTTCATCTAAACACGGGCGGAATTCTATATAAAATGAATGGTCGCTGCGTGGATATAGCTGCTCTGGAACAAATGAACGACCCACGTGTTTGTCTTTCACATCTTCTTCTTCTTCACGAGCGATTTTGCACGATCCACGAGATATTTAATAGCTTATCGTTCGCGCAGGAAATTTTATTTAGAACATTCCAGATCCTTGCGTAGAAATCGTAGAAATCGTTATCGTGAAAATCGAGGACTATTTTAAATGCGTTCGCGTGTCTCTTTTCTATTTTTCGCGTTTTCATTTCGAACGCGGCGTTTCCTTTGTACCCGATGATTGCGACGAGATCTTTTCGAACGGTAGAAATATGCGTCGATTTTTTAACGGCCTTTCATCGATACTCTGATTTGTCAAAGGATTTCTATGTTATGTCTAAACGTGTGATATGGATTAATTTCGATAGGACAGATAGAACAGAATAAAGAGAGAGAGATGCTTAGAAAAAATTCTTTACTTCCTCGAAGATTTTAATTCGTTCGTCTCGATAAAAATACGTTTTCTCAATATAAATGAACATTATCGCTATTTATTATATATATATGTCAAAAGTCCATCGAGATTCATTAGAAATTTAGAAATTTATTTTGATAATTTGGTTAACAAAATAAACTCGATACCGTTGTAACAAAGCTGGAATAAATTTCGAATAAAAAAAATATGAATCAAAGATAGAGAATAACGTTGTATAAATAGATCGACATAATCGAGACAATAAAAAAAGAATGCTTTATTTACCATTACAGAAGTTTACATAACTTTACATAATTTTGAAATAATTGAACGAAACGTCGTTTCAACTTTTTGATATTCTCTCTCTCTCTCTCTNT